TTTTTCTTTATTCCAACCTTCTCCAATTTTGTACCCTAATACACTGGTGTTACACTCAAGTGTGATATTTATTGTTCTTGAGCATTTGTTTACTTTAGGACCTGAAATGTCATCACTTAAACTCCATCAAAGTATAATTAATCCTAAAAAGGCATAGTAATATGCTAAATTTAAGTACTAATCAAGCTTTTCAGCTCATAAACAAACGATAAACTCTTCAACTCATAAACAAACGATGAGTTATTCAGCTCACAAACAAGCAATGGGCTCTTTAGCTCACAAAAAATGAGCCCTTGAGCTCATAAACAAACAATGAGCTCTTTAGCTCATAAACAAACGATGAAAGAAAAGAGGGGCACAACCCGAAGAATGACAAAATCCACCCAATAACGGGATGGATGCGCAGACGAAGGCCCATCTCGAAAGCACCTTCAAAAAAATATATTTCTCATTGGGGGAGAAAGTTGTAGGGCTCATCAAGAGTTGGGACTTGGAGGGGTAAGTCAACAGGAAGAAGATATCGCCTCTTGATTCCTTCAAACTCTAAAGCGGTAATCACAAAAGGAAGCAGGAAGTTAGAGTGCCACACCATGTCAATCATGGCTTGGGCTCGTTGTTTGAACAAAGGAGTAAGAGAGGGAGCCATGAAAATCAAAAACAAGGCAGAAAACGCAAAAAAGACTCAGGAAGAATGAGAAACGTGAAGAAGAAATTCCAAGAATTGTAGACAATAAAAAATCCTAAGTTTTATGGAAATAGTAGGGAATCCCGAGTTTTAAGGGAGCAAGAAACGTGCAAAGATGAAGAAGTGGCCCCTTAAACTTCCAAAGTCATGATGGTTGAGGTGTTTTAAGAACGTAGTTGGGTATGAATAATGACCCATTTGTCACATTTCATGCAAAAGGAGTATAGCAACCAGACATGGACCCATGAAAAGTAGAGCTTAGACTCAAGCAGCTCAATCCAATTAATGGCTCCCTAGTCAAATGGAAGGTTTGCTCTTCAGCTCATAAAGATAAGGCCTGGTCCAATACGAGCTCTTCGGGTTGAGCTAAGATAACTCCATGGAAAATGAGCTCTTCAGCTCATAAAGCTGAACTACTCAAGTCAGAAAAGTTACTCAACTTATAAAGCTCTTCAGCTCGCAAGATCTCTTCAGATCAAAGAAACAAGACCAGCACCTCAACTCGAACCAAGGTCCGATTCCTGATCTTATACTTCAAAGATCTCCTCAAAGTAAGGGGCATAGGGGAATAGAAAGAGTGCAAGAGCACAGCACAGGAAAAAACACAGCACAACAATCAAAAGTACAAGAATTTAAAAGCAAAAAACACATGGACAAAAACAACATTTTCTTATAAATAGTTGGTTGCAAAGTCCTTTAAAAAAAAGAAACAAAAACAGAAGCCTTAAGTGCCTGCAGTCGAATCCGGGATCTTAGATAACTCGAGCAACTCGGGAATTTCAAGAATAATAGTTGATGTGGAGTCAGCAAGAGCCTCAGGGAGCTCAAGAAGCTCGGGAGGAACAGAAATAATGGTTGATGCAGAAGGAGCCTCAAAAGTAAGGACCTCGGTGGGGAAATAGATGCTTCGACACCCAGAAGGGCAAGGACCTCGGTAGATGAGATAGATACCTTGGCACCGACAAGAGCAAGCTAAAAAATGGTAGGAACCAAGACCTCAGCCTCCTCCTCAGCGCGCAGAACCTCTTTCTCCTTATTCGAATGAGGGTCAAACTCAAAATCTAGGTCCGAATACTTTGTCACAGCTTGATCCTGAAATGCAAGGTACCCAGTGGCCCAATTGGTGGTAGCCTCATCCTCCAGTTTAGCAATCAGAGCATCCTTCTTTTTAACGGCAGCTCTCTCAACCTCAATCTCCCTCCGCAGAGTGTCATTCACTTTAGCCAAAACATTGTTTTCTCTCTTCATGGCCTTGTAAGACTCAAAATCCTCAAAGGCATCCTTGCGAGCTTGAATCAAATTGTTAGTCTTCAATTGGAGCTCTTCCTTGGTCTTCTTGATCTCATCCTTGGCTTTTCCTTTCTCAACCTCCAAATCCTTATTAGCAGAAGACAACTTCTCCACCTGTGCCTGCAGGTCCTGCACCTAAGCCTTGAGGTCCTCATTAGATAAAGCCAACTAGAAAACCTTGAGCTCAGAAGCCTTCAACGCCTTGATTGAGCTTTCCAAAGCCCTATCCTACTCGTGAGAGTGCTCACATGAATGGTTAGCTAGAGGAAAACACAACCAAAGGCTAGAATCAGTATGAAGCAACAATGCACGGCAAAAATGAAACTAGGGAGAATAGAAACTTATTGAAGTAGCATCATACAAGGCAGTAGTAACAGGTGTAGAGAGAGGCATAGCAGCAACCTTCTAGATGTTGGACTCAGGGATAATCGAAGCAATGGCCTCGACAGCAAGTTTTAGGGCACCAACAAGCGAACCCTTGCATTTCTTGACCTTCAGGCCCTCCACCAGCAGATGATGAATCTTCTTGGAAGGTCTGGGGAAGGATGCACATGCCAGATGGGAGTAATCGACTCCAAGGCCCCTTTGACCTCTGCTAAGGTGGGAGATGCTGAAGTTACAGCTTGCTCAAAAACCCCTCCAAGAGAGGAAGGCAAGGTCTCTTGAGGAATTGAGGCCTGTGTGGCATTCAATGAGCTCGACGGAGGAGTAGAAACCACTTCAAAAGGGAGATTAGAATAAGGTGGCACCTCTGTCCTTGGCACCTTTGCGAGGGAAGCAGAATCACTTCCTGACCCGACCTCAATCTTGCATTTTCCTCCACTCTTGATCTTCCTTAGCAAGGCAACCCTCGCCTTCAAAGCTTCAGCATCTGGAGCCACTGAGCTAGAACCTGAAAACCCAAAGGAAATAGATCAAAAATGAGGAAGAGGTAAAATAGAAGTTAAGGATAAAAAGGAGGAAGCGTTACCTACAACCTCCTCTGCACCAGCGAAGTAAATAGAAATAGGAGTCTCTACAGTCACCTCGGGAAGGCTGAACTCTAGCTTGGTAAACACAGAATGCTTAATCAAGTTAGAATACTTAGGGATGTATAGGGAACCGAAGCCCATTCTTTAGAGAAGTTACGAAGAATCAGGTCTCCCTAGGGACCTCAAAATCATATCTAATATCTACAAAGGGGATCCAATAGCACATGCCCCTAGAAAAACCAATCCTTACAGACAAGACACTCATAAGAGGGGACGTAACCTCACTGTGAGCAATAAGATCTGAAGCGCAAGGGGGTTCGGAGCCCTCAGCGCTACCTAAAGGTCCAGCTTTACCCTTTTTGGCCTTTCTTTTTTGAGATCGTTTAAAACTCAAAAAAGACCCTGGTAAAGTCAGAGGTGTCTCTACCTTCTCCGCAGCATCAACCCCAGAGAAGTTGTCTATTTCATCACCAACATCCCCTAGGTTGTCCTCCTCTACATCTGGGAACCTATCAACCATGAGGGAATAGACGAGGATGTAGCTTCGGAAGAGGCAAACATAATTGGCCAAGAAAAAGGAAGTCTAACAGAACTCTAAAGAGGGGGACACGAATAAAGCAATCCTTAAGGGCCCATAGGTCAAGACACCAGCAACCGAAAAGAAAAACTCTAGCAGTAGAGTAAGGATCCAAAAAGAGAGGGAAAAAAGACAAGGAAAGACCTCGATTCCTAAAGTAACAAAAGTGGAATGTCCAAAAATTAAACAACCACCTTGAATTCGAGGGATCCAGAATGAAAGAAAAGAAAAGGAAACAGAGTAAGGGACGTACCTAGCTAAAAACGATCGACAAACCAGGAACCAAAAAAAAGTTGAATAGATTAGGCCAGTCACGCAAAGCCTTTGAAGAAATTGGGGATTTTTCTAAAAAACCCTAGATCCTCGGCGAAATTGGAAAGACGAAGTTGCAAGGGGAAAAAAATAGAGTCAGGAAACACAATGTGAAGAGAGCTTGAAAAAATGAAAGGCAATTCTTTGTCTGCAATTGCATTTAAAGCCAAGAGAACGGGGATCCTCAAAATAAGGGACGTGCACAAGAAACGAGAAAAATATGATTACACGATTGTCATAACTATTAGAATGAAGTCCAATCATGCGCGAATCAAGGTCGACCCAGGCAACCTTACTCATAGCATAATCCCTGCTCAAGCCAACTTGTTTGACCAGGGACTGTGGGTCAACTGATGGTACCACAAAATATCTAAGGATGAGTTCGGTAACCCAGGTTGTGCTACCTAGTTCGGGGGCTCAGCTCGTCAATATTACTCATAGACCTCGATTTCAAACCTCAACTCCCCGCGTCAATATCTTGAGGAAGTTTGTACAAAAGACAGCTGGATTTCACCAAGTCCTCCTTCTTTATTTGCGTCAATTACCCAATAGACACAAGTCTCGTTGCACAATGAGGGGCAACCGTTATAAGAGAAGGGCAAGAATCTCCCCCCAGATCAAGCAAAGCTTAGGAATAACTATAAATAGGAGGCAAGGCCCTCAAGAGTGGGGGAGATAACCATTGTAGTCTTACAAAATACTCTTTATTAACCACACACAGTTATTAACAAATTCAGGAACAAGAGACTCCCTTAAAAGTGGATTAGTCAAACTTTTGAGCTGGTGAACCACTATAAATACTGTGTGTAATCATCCATTAATCCCAAAAAAACCCTACTCCTTAAAGCCTTGGAGCTTGGACTGAATTGTTTAGTACACCTTATATTCATACATCTGTCCAATCGCGTTATTAACATCATCAAGAATCATATAATTAAACAAGTTTTATAACACAAAAAATAATAAATCACACTTTTCTAAAACTTTTTCCAAAAACGGTTTTCAGATACTGTTTTTTAAGACGCTAACTAAATTAAAATTTTCATATATAATGTAATAATAAATCATAATAAAATTCATGTACCTTATTTTCATTCCAATTAGTTATAAATAAAAGTGTTACGAAACGATACATTAGTTTTACATAAGTATACTTTACTAAAGAATGCCACTTATGATATTGCAGGGATCGTTTAGTGAAGCAAAAGTAGACTCCTTCAACTTGCCTATATATTATCCACCCATTAAGGAATTGGAAGCATTGATAGGAGGAAACAGTGGCTTCAGCATTGAGAGAATGGAGATCATGAAGAACCCAGCTAAACACGTCACAATGCCTAGCGTTAGACTACGTACCTTATTCTTGAGAGCTTGCTTCGAGGGACTTTTGGAGAATCATTTCGGAAGTAAAATCATGGACGAATTGTTCGAACGTTATTCCAAGAAAGTTGCAGAAGCCAGCTTTACCATGAATCCAGAAAATGATAAATCTATTTTAATGTTTGTCCTCCTTAAGCGTAAAGCTTAGTTACATAAACACCGATCCCTTAGGTTCACCCCGAGGCTCGTGGTTTGCCCAGGGGTCGATACTGATAAAATAAAGAATAAATATCACGTACAATCCTTAGATTCAGTCCTCGGTTCTTAAATGTTTCTTAATAAACTTTCAATTATTTCATTTTAGTTCTTAAACTATATAAAGAGTGGTAATCAATCCCTTCTGTTCAGTTCCATTGTTAGACAATTAAAAAAAAATCAAGAAAAACTTTCAAGGGAAGAATTAAACCCTTTTAATGGTTTTTTTAATCATGGAAAAACATGAAAATGTTTGATTGATGATTTACATATTTTGAGTACTAAATAGAGACAACTAAAAGTTGTGAGAGGGCATTTTCAAACCGAGACATAGTTGGAGGGTCGTATGTGATAATTACTAGAGAATTAAATTGAGAAGTTGTTTTATTTTATTTTCCGTTGTTATTTTTGATTTTATGTACTTTTCACTTAATTTCCATTTACTATGTGTTGATGGGCTCATTCAAATGTTTTGAGTGGGTTGTTACAAGTAGTTTTAATGGGTTGTAATATTTGCTTTTAACGGGTCATTTCAATACCATTGATATGTATCCTATCATTCGTCGTTTGATTTTTACAATTGATATCAGATCTAGTAACCAGCGTTATGCAAAGGTCACTCATTTTGTGCACCCCTTATGTACCCTTGGTCCGGTGAGGGTTTTGGCCCTAGTGTGGTGGGAGTTATTCTCCGATACCCACACCATCTAGGGCCTGTTTGGCTAGGAAACAAAATGATATAAAATAAAAATCATATAAAATGTATTTTTATAAATGTATTTTGTTAGATTGAAAAATTTACGAAATAGTTTTAAAAAAATTTTATTCTATTATTTAAAAGAAATGAAAGTTATAAGAAATTTTTTATAATTATCTAAATTGCCCTTAATTATATTAAATCGATCTAAAAATAAAAAAATATGTAATTATAATTAAAAGTTAAAAAATTTGAAAAAAAGTGGCTCGAAACCTAATTCTAGGATAATTACCAACACAAAAGTCTTTGAACCAAATTATATGATTAATCAAATTCATACCAAAAATTTTTAAAATTAATAACTAATAAAATATTTTAAGAAAAATAAAGGTAAAATAGAAAGTTAATTATATATCACAACTTTCTTTCATTTCTTAACGTTTTTTACAAATAAAAAAAAATGATTATTTATGAAAAAATTTAATCATGAAAGAAAATTATTTTTTCTATCATTTTTCTTTTCATGCTAACCAAACACATGAAAATTATTTTTTGCATTTTTTACCATTTTCCTGCTAAACAAACAAATCCCAAGTATGGATAACTCTCACAAAAGCACAACTGGTCGTAAAAAAAATTGAGATATTCTCTATTATTATTTTATGTGGACCTCTCACTCATTCACGGTGAGTTTTGGAGGTGGTTTGTGTGCAGAAAGGATGAGAGAAGGAAAGGAAGACAATTACCGGAGAGCAACGTCAATGCTGGGGCGGAGAGAAGGTGGCGAGGTGATTGGATTAGGTCTAACAATTGTGTCGAGTGGAACGGTTTTGTGTTGTGTGGAACGGATTTATGTCAAAAAATCTTTTATTCATACCACATTCATTTATATAAACAAGCTTAATTATCACACTCATGCACGAATCATTTATTAAATGGGTTATCCGATGCAACCCTGTGTCACTCGTTAAATAAGAGAATATGTTAGAGTATTTCGAATCCACACGAAAAATCATCAACTCGCCACATATTACACATGTTTGACTTGTTTACTACTCCCTCCATTCCTAAATATCTGTCGTTTTACACAATTTTTTTTATTCCATAATATATGTCATTTTGTGAAACCAAAGCATAATAAATATTTTTTCTTCCAAATTTACCCTTATCTCTATTTTTCAATAAGTGCTTAATAGATTAAGTGCAAGCTAAGTACTTTTCATATTCCTTTTCTTCCCAATACGTATTAAATAAGGGTATTTTAATTTTGTGAAATTACTTTTTACTCATATTATAGCTATTTAATTGCTTCCTTAATCTCTGTGCAAAAAACTTAAACGACATGTATTTAGGAACGGAGAGAGTATAACAATAAATCATAGCTGAGCAAAAAAATAAAGACAAAAAATAAATATTAAATGACCTTTAAATTTGAATGAGTCAGAGAAATAGAAGGTGTGAGATGAGGTAAAAGTTGAGAGACCTAACTTTTTAAAAAAAAAAATTATAATACTACTGTTAACAGGTTAAACGAATTTATGGATTAAACACGAAACCGATTCATTTATTTTACAGGTCTGTCGAGTTAACTTATTTACCACTCAAACTCATTAAGACTACACTTAAATTCGTTTAATATGTATCGACTTTGTGTCGATTTTACGAGTCATGCTTAAAATTATCAAGCCTAGATTGGGTGGAGTCATGTTTAAAATTGTCGAGGCTAGATTGGGTGGAGAGAGAGAAGGGGAGGGGGGGGGTTCAAGTGTGATTGACCGTTGAAATAAGGAAAGATAAAAGATTGGGCGGGACTTTTAAGGCCGGAAAAAAAAAATTGATGAGGGAGTTTGGATCCTTAGATCGAATTTGAGTTAATCAGGACTATTCTTGTGTTTTATGGGGGTATAGTTTTAACTTACAACCTCTCTTCTATTAGATAGATAGATGAACCACAGAGTACCTCAGCACGCCTGAGAGAGCAAATCACATTAACATTAATGTTGACACGGAATCAAAGGGTCAAGGATAAGTTTAAATATTGACACCAAATCATTGAAACTGTGATGAATCTTCCAAATTGTTATTGACACCAAAGTATTATATTCATATCATTTTGAATTTGTACAAAGCATAATACATCTCCAATCTTACCCGATAATTTTATTATTTGTGTCAAATTTTTTGAAAAAAAAAAACCCAGCCTTTTTTTTAATTGTAACATATCTAGCTGAGTATATATAATTATTTAACAATTTTTTAATTCAGCAGAGAAATAAATAAAGCTGGTTGGTTGTTAAAGAACATATTGGAAACAGGGACATGTCCAGCTACGTTGTATTATGTTCGGGTCGTATTATTTTAGTTTGTATCGAGCATTAATCATTTTTGTTCGCATTATTTATACATCATGTAAATTTTGTTCTTGTTATCTTTGTGTTGTATTCGTGACATTTTTATATAGCCCGAGAATAGAAACTTCGGAGCAAGGACTCCATTTTCTCGTAACAAAATTCAAGTAACGCAAGTCTCTTTAAATTAGGTTTGTTAAAATATGATTAATAAACAAATTATTTATGGATGAAGTCACACTACAACAAAAATAGGTTTTACTTACACAAATTTTAACTAGGAAATATATTTTGTAGGTAAAAATAATTTTTCTCAAAAAAATTATAATTTCCTCAACAAATAATATGTACATGCCCACCCACACCTCACGGTGGAAAATAGGAAAAATATTTTAATTTTACCAAGGAAATTTTCATAGCTAATAAAATAAATTAATTTTAATTTTAATTTTTTTTGAAATTTTTGTTAGTTTTGGTGACTAAATAATTTGTCAGTAAAATTGAAAAAAAAATTATTTGAGATTCACCGACGAAATTCTTTCCTAGGTAAAGGTTGATCAGTTGAGACTACGTCATTCCCACATCCATATTTACCCTAAGTCATCTACCTCTCAATTCATCTACAACATTTTTCCCTCAGACGGTCAGACCATCGTCTTCTTCAGAGATCTTTTTTTTCAACCTTTCTGCCATCGATCTCGCTACCGTCGACGATCTATCCTAATCCATTTGTTAGGGCACAAATCTGTAAATTTTAATGCTCGAACTCTGACAGAATAGTCACATGTTGGGCACGTGATACCATCTAAAAAAATAACACGTTGTCACTTCTGTCAAAAAACTTGACAGATTGTATAATTAATGACCAAAGTGACAAAGATTGAATACTTTAAAGACCAAAGTGACAGTTAATACAATGAGGACTAAATTAATAAAAAAATACATACTTTAAAGATCAAAAGTGTTATTAATATTTTAAAACCGATAACATTTTTGAGGACGAAAAATATTACATAACTCAAATAAAATCTAAAATTTAAAACTCAAATATATATATCTTCCCTTAAATGAGTGTGGGATGAGCGTCCCACTAAAAAAACTGATGAAACTTACTTATCAAAGAGATAATATATATTTAGATTCCAACTTTTTGAGTGTAATTTGAATTTTATAATATTACTCATCCAAGAACGTTATGTACTACTAATCTCTCTATCAGCTAATCACGACCGTGAGAGAGACAACGACACTTGTGATCACTAGGGTGAATCTGTCTCTGGGGACTCACTTTTACGCTTAAGGAGTACTAACATAAAAATGGACTTATCATTGTCTGGATTCATGGTGAAGGAAGACTCGGCAACTTTCTTAGAATAACGTTTGAACAGTTCATCCATGATATGACTTCCGAAATGATTCTCCAAAAGTCCCTCGAAGCAAGCCCTCAAGAACAGTGTGCGATGTCTGACACTAGGCATGGCGACATGTTTCGGAGGGTTGTTCATGATCTCCATTCTCTCTAGGCTAAAGCTTGTGTTTGCCTCTATCAATGCCTCCAATTCCTCAATGGGTGGATAATATAAAGGCAAGTTGAAGGAGTCTACTTTAGCTTCACCGAATGATCCCTACAATATCAATTGCATCAATTAATATATGAAAATTCGTAATTTTTAAATGAATTCTTCATTGAATGATCCCTGAAGATCGGTTGGTCTTCGTTCGACGTCTATGTCACATGTTGATGTATTAACATATTCTTCGATACACTTTCATTCAATTATTGAGTGAAATTGAATGAAGGTACAATGGAGGAAATTTGGATCCTTAGTTAATCGTTAAAAAAACCTAGAAATAGGAGGAGAAAAACAACTGAATGCAAATAGAACTGAGGACCACAATTACAAAAATGTATTTTAAGGAACCATTACTATAGTTTGCACAAATTATAATGAGCAATGTTATTTAAACCTAATTTGTTTATCTAATTTGCTGACCTAAGACCATCTCTGGTC